TGTGGCACTTACTGCCCCGCCGTATGCCTGGCAAAGCACAGCCACCCCTCGCCCACGACAAGCGTTTGTCGTAGTGTCGTGTTTCATGCTGTCTCCTGAACCTCAGGCACTGGAGGCAGCTTCCCCACAAGAAGGGGAGAAGAAAATGAGGTCGTCCTGGAAGCAAAAAGGTAAAAATCCACTTGGGCAAGAAATGTATATAGCAGTCTCGTAGCAGTTCTGTGTTTCTCCCGTCTCTTCCTTGATTTCCTTACAGTGAAATAGATTGGTGCTGTAACACACTTTTGAATGAAACAAAGGACTCTAGTGTGGATTTTATGTAGGCCCTGCACTGCAAGGTATGCTGCTGGGAGGAAGCGCTGGGTCCTGCGCTTTGGTCATGATGACCCTGTGCTAGCTTCTCCAGGATTTGGCTGAGGTAGAATTCCAACCACCCTCTGATTCTAGAATGTTGGGCTGTTGGAATCTTCTGGTCTTGTGATGTGGACTTGCCTCCCCACCTTGTCTGTCATGGTGGAGCAGCCTGGTGGCCCTTAGTGATGTCATAAGCAGCTAGAATGAGGGGAGGAGCAGTGCCTGCTGCGTCCCTTCATTGGAGCGCTTGAGCTCTGACTGAGTAGCTCGCTTGTTGCACTTGTGCATCGACTGAGTACCTTCGTTTTCACACCGTCTTGTGCAGCATCTTGTAGGTAAGCTGAGACAGCGTGAGATAGACAGGTGGACAGTGAGGTGTTGAAAGCTGCTGGCTGGCGGAGCTGGTAGTGTCATGCTGCTTACTCTTTGACCATCAGGCATAATTTTCACTCAGTAGCTACATTCCAAAGCATAGAGGTGGCATTTGTCTCAGGGCTTTTCCCTTGTCTTCTTTGTTAAATTGTGCAAGCTCACTGATCAGCTCTTTCTCTCTCCTCTCCCCGCCCTCTGCCTTCTCCTTTGATGCAGCTTTTGCTCGCGGAAGAACAGAGCAAAGTGACAAGAAACGGCTGCGGCTTCAAGGAACTTGTTCTGATCTCTTGCCTGGTATGTGCCACACGTTGTCCCCCCCATGTGGTTTTGCAGCCCGCATCGCACCGTGTTTAGTAACACAGCCTCATCCAGCCTTGACAGGACACCGGTCACGTGTAGAGTTATTCCACTTTCCCTCCAGCTCAGCCCTCAGAAGGATGCTGTCTGTGATGCTGTGACCGGCTAATCTTTAGGAAACCAATCCCTTAGGCAAGGAGTCCTAGTCCCAGTTTGTGCAGGGCTGCACAACGTGACCATGAGCATGTGTGCTTCGGCTGCGTGTGCGCACGACAGCTGTGGGGAGCACAGCAGAGATGCAAGCAGAGGAAATCCGTGTGCAAGGTTGCGGCCGGCGCTGGAGGTGAACTGGTGGGAGCCGGGCGCTGGGGAGCAGATCCACCTCCAGCAGTGACTCCTCTCACTGCCCTGCTACTGTGCTGTCAGAGTGCTCTGAGCAAGCGTATCTGCTGCTTTGTGCTGGAGTCCCTGTCTGCTAGCAGAGGGATAGCAACTTGGTAAACTGCTGCGCAATAGGCTGTCTCGTTTGAATTGACTGAACAAAGTGGTTGTTTCTAGAACACCTGCCTATGCCAGTGGGTAACTGAGGGTAGTTCTGAAGAAGTCTCTCAATAGTGTGGTGTGCGAACAGAGAAAATAGAAGTGTGTTTCTTTTCAGTTCCAGCTTGTCGTGCCTGCTGTGATGGGCATCGCGTGCAGCGAGATCAGTTGTGGGCCTGACCTGGCACGAATGGAGGTAGAGTATGAAGCTCTGATTGGTCTTTGTTCTGCTGACTTGAGCTGGCAGAGTGTGCTGCAGATGAGCTCTCCTGCTTTTCAAGAGAGGGAGAATCCTTCCAGCTCTATCGGTTTCACTGAAAAGCTGCCTGAAAAGCTTCATGTCCTTGCTATGAGCATCTAGATGGCCGTGGACGTTATAGTACCAACAGAAT